AAATGCAGAATTAGGTTATTGTGTTGATTTGGAGGATATAAACTAATTTACTCGCAGCTAATATTACAAAACCTGTCTGGCGGTCAATCTAAGCGTCCCCGCTACTTTCGGTGACGTCAAAGTGAAGAACATCACGGCATTGGCTTTTAGCTAAAACATTGTAATTTCCCCGCTACATGTCCATACGTAAGTCTTTCGTACCAGAAAAGTGTGTGGGGAGAACTGAGGCGGGGAACTGCGAAAGAATGTTATCTATTGTTCTAGCACCCGTTCTTTAGGCAGTTCTTATGATGTTTGTATTTTTTTGATACAAAATTGCGGTAATCTAGTCACCACCGGTACCCATTCATAAACATGTTTGGAACGGCTCTAACAGAACCTACTACTGACGTATCAACCAAGTACAGCTCGAACACTTCTAATCAGCCTCGGATAAGCGTTTCACACACATGAAAATGCATTCAGATAGCATGGTAAAAACCACACGCTTTATTTAAGAGATCCCCAAAACCTATTCTACCTCGACCTCGAATTTTGGAACCGATTTCAATATATCTTATCACGTATAGCAAAGAAAAAGTATCTATAAAAAATCTGAAACTTTTTCGTAGTTTTCTGTGACCAATTTTAGGCAGATGCCAGAGCCCAACCTCAAAGAATTCAAAATCACCTGTTTCTCGCCCTAAATTCAAAATCGCCTGTTTCTCGCCCAAGAAATACATCCTTTCTCTGCTAGATGAAAGGAGCGTAACGAAATTTGCTTGGTCAGACGGAAGAGCTGGCCTGATGGCCTGAGTCTCGCCACGTAAAAATAAGGCAAATTCAATTCAATTCAAGAATGGGCTTTAACAATCGCGGGTTTATTCATTTCCCCATTTCCACTCTAAAGAGCCCCATCTCCGAACAAGAGAGATACGCTTGGAGGAAATAGGCTTGTTAGTAAATCTGTTACCAGCATATTGTATTCACAATAAAACAAACTGCTGAAGCACATCCCTTACGATCATAGTATAACATTGCAAGTGTCGTGAAAAATGGAGTATATTGATTCCACTTTATGCATGGTGGAAAACCTCCGTAGTTCTCCGACAGATTTGAGAAACCAAAAATTTTGGCCCTTGAAGATCGCCCCTTTGAAAAGACAACAGCATGCAAGAAACACTTAAGGATGTTGCTAAAACCATTGCCGCAACATGACGAGGTGACAGGGGCTTCATCATTTTTATTGATTTTGTATTTACATGTTAATTAATTTTAATTAATAAATGTTAAAATGAATAGGGGAATACATTTTAAAATATCTCTATTAATAAGAATTGCTATTTATAATCCGAAATGTTTACCACGGCATTCCCGCCGATGTATGTCGGTTATGATGGCGCTCCAGAACGAATTGCAAGAGATTATGGGATGATAATAATAATAATAATAATAATAATAATAATAATAATAATAATAATAATAATAATAATAATACAGTTGCAGCAGCCGTCGTCTGCGCCGAGGAAGCTGCAGGTTTGAGTTCTACGTAGACATGTTAGTATTTGTGATGTGATTTGTGATAAGCTAGTGTCGAAAATCTTGCCACCGTCGGGGCTCGAATCTAGGACTCCCCAGACCCAGGCACTGCAGTGACATCGTTTGGTGGCCTGATCTCCCTGACATTTTGCCGGAATCGAACCCATGACCTCCGAATCGCTGGAGATGCAAGACGATGCCTTATGGACGCCGCTACCAGTGCTGGTGCCTAATTATATAATCCATTTTATTTTCACCGGCTGAGGTAGCTTAGGTCATTAACCGCAGACACAGCAGTGCCGTTGACCGGGAGGTCCTATTTTCGACACTAACTTTTAGGTAGGTGTGTCGAATTCAGCCAGGAACTGGAGGTGAATTATAGCGATTGACTGCTCTGATCCCTAGTTTTCCGTAGTTTCTCCGATCAACACCAGGCGAATGCCGGAGTAGTACCCTAACAAACGGGCCACGGACCGCGCGCGATCTTTCCTTTTTCTTCCGTGCCGTCTCCTCGCCCCTTACTTACAAACACACACTTACATTACATTACCACACATGTCGGGAGCTTAGAGTCTGTCTTGGCTGGGGCGGAACCCCGTTGGTGGGAGATACCTCGATAGGGAAAGAGCTCCTAAGCCGACGGCTTAGATCGGCGCCTTATTGCATTATGCAGTAGGGCAAGATCACCGCTACCTCACGCGATAAATACACACATCACACTTACGGGATTCATGACCTCCTCGTAGTTGATGCGTCCGGAAACACTAAATAATCAATATGATATTTTCATTTTTGGGGGTGTTGGTTGAACCTTCTACAGAACCACCACTGGCATAAAGCAAGTTGGATCCGCAGCAGCTCGGAAAAATGAAGGGGCTCCCAGGAGACTCCCTCTGTGGTCACGTCCCAACGGAATTGCTTCCGAGAATTGATCCCGGTGACACGCAATCTATACTACTTATAATGGATGCGCTCATACTCTTCGAACGTGCTGCTTTTGGGACCAAAACGAGTCCGCTCCCTGTACTTCTAGGAAGTCGTGGACTAATGAAGAACATGCGATATGGATCGTGGGAAAGATGGGATTTGTAATTTTAACATCTGTAGTAAGGTGGGCATTTAGTACGAGGCAAACAATGCATGACGAATAACATTTAACATCTAAACATCGATTTTCAAACACAAGGACGGATCTAAACATTCAATTTGGAGGGAGATGGGTCGCGGTCCGAGTTATTATTTTACTCTGCACATGTTGATACTGTACAATCGATGATTAAAATATATATCTCACTAAAATTGCAGTTCACATTTAACATTATTAAAACTTTTAAGAACTGTAAAGATTTTTGGTCAGTAATATTCTTCCCTGCAACATAACCGATCTTCGCAGTTCTCTTTTTGTAGCAAGGAAGATCACTAGTTGTTTCAGAGGCCACTTAATAAACCTTGATTCATTCAGCGGGCATGCGAGGTCGTCTGGAAACGCAAATTCAAAAGAGCCATCTTGGAAGGAAACAATAAAAATCCTATTGAAACATGATCTGTGAAAATTTTGTTGATTTAAAGAACTGAAGAGGCTTTGTTGCTGAATCAAGATTATATAAATTCTATTAATTTACAGTAAATTAGTAGTTCACTCAAGACAGAAATAGTTATCATGATGCACACACTTCATAAATGTCCGTGGAGATCTCTTTTCGGAAAAATCAGTCTCGACAGGGTCAAGTGAAATCATTTCTAATTATTCATACCGTTTTAATTACTGTATTATTTATTTAACTTGGATTTGCAACGCATCTCTGAACCCATTTTTGGGCATTAAGCGTCTGCATTTGAGTAATCCTCCGTTATTTTCACCGTCAAGTCTCGTTACATCGCAATCAGTCCTTACCTTTTATCTCTTCGACCAGGGGATCTATGCCGTTAGATCCCGGAGTTCCTAGACGGTCACCCAACCAGGAACCCGCGAGATCTCGAATTCGCTTAACCTCCGTGACTTTACCGAGAATTAGCTCGGCTAGCGGCGCCGGCAACTTTAGATTCGTACTTAACCGTTGTTACTCACATGCATCGACATGGAATTTCGAGCGGCTTAACAAGGATCATGTCGAACAACGTAGCAAGTAAATACCAATAACCCGACATCGGCCCAGAACATCCATGGCCCAATTAAGGAACAATACGATGTCACACAATGGCCTCCACATAACAAAGCTCCACTTTTGAAAGACAGCCCTATCAAGACAAGTGGTTATCGCTTCACCTCGCAGAGAATGCCTAAGCTGCTTACTCTTATTCATATGGAAATTGATTTTCCATCACCGCCTACCCCCGAGATTCAAAGCCAAGCACCCATGACTAATCGTGAACGAGACTCGACCTTCAACCAGCATAGGCCCTTCAATGCGCAAAGCTCTATGCAACAATACACCAAAACAAATACACAAACAATCTGGCTACTGATATGGATACTTAAGAATCTTCTACAAACGCAGATAGCTTATGAATTATTGCAAGGGACTTTGAGAAAACATTCACATACTGTACGAGACCTTCCAGCCCGTTTTGTTTAACTTCACAGGACGTGTTTCTCATCTCGAGGTCTAGCCTTCTGTGCCTCACATTGATGGTATCTGCAAGACGTATGTTAGTAATAATTCTATAAATAATACGCAACTGAGCTTGTAAGTGAACCACGGGACCTCACTCGGCTCAACGTTTGCGATTTGTTTATTTATGGAAATTAAAAAAAATGCTTGAAAAGTTTTTTCAAATGCTTGAAAAGTACCTCATGGGAAAGACAAGTGAGAGGATTTAATATCTAAAGACAAGAGGGTGTGATCCGAAAATACCACAATTTTACTTATAATCTTTTAATTTATATTAATGGAAATGTAAAGCAATTTCGTTCGTCATACACAGCATTCTCTACATGAAAGACACTACTCTGCTGTACTACAAAAGACATTACTCTGCTTTTAAAAAAAGCGAGCTAAACATAATCTACCTATTCCATTTTATCCAAATGCCTGAAAAGAATCTCATGGGGAATGCAAGTGACTCAAGGTTTAATATCTACAGAAAAAAAAGTGATCTGAGGGGACCACAATTTTATTTACAAATCTTTTAATTTATATGAATCAAAATGTAAAGCAAGTTCGTCCATCACACAGCATTCTCTTCATTAAACCAAAACACACTAATCTGCTTTAAAAAAGCGAGCGAAACACGTAATATATGAACTCATTCCATTTTCTCCAAATCCAAATGCTTGAATAGAATCTCATGGGGAAGACAATTGAAGATTTAATATCTAAAGAAAATTATCGATCCGAAGGGACCAAAATTTTACTTATAATATTTTAATTAAATGAATTAGCAATGTCGTTCATTATACACAGCATTCTTTACATGAAACCAAAACACACTACTCTGCCTTAAAAAAGGGGGGGGGCGAGCTAAACGCGTAATCTACTCACTCCAAGCGGCGTCCGCCTCGGCATACGTGTCCAGGTAGGAGGGGCTGGCCACCCCGTTCTGCAGAGGGCGCTGGTGCTGCGGCGGCACGACCTCCAACGCCACCCCGTCCTCCTCGTCCGCCTCCTTGAGGTCGTCGGGCGCCGGCCCGTCCAGCCGGGACGACACTCGCGAGTCCTCGTCCGCTTCCGGAATCGACTCGACCGTCGTCGACGCCGGCAACATGGCGGAAAGTCTCTTTTTGCAAGTTTTTCGAACTTTTTGTGCACACCGTTTAGTCCGTAAGGTTCTGATGAAACATTACGAATAGGAACTCAAGAATTGGGTTTTCGTTGCGGGCAGCATATCAACTGTTTGTGTAACTCCGCGGCACTTTAAAGTTTTGAAACTCTTGTTTACAAATTAATTCGTAACATAGTATTGAAATATCACAAGAAATCACATTACTTCATCACATAAAAATGATCATAGCTTACAAAACCTGACGAATTTAACTATTGACTCTTCGTCGCGACGTATCGCGACGTATCGATGATAATTCTTGATGCTTAACGGTCCTTTATGTTGTTTATTATCTTAGTTTTGCTTTCAGTTTAATTCGTAAGGTACTAACAGAGCTTTACGTCAAATGAGTATTTCTTCTTCGATGTACACAGTTGGTTTTTTAAAAACACGATTTTAAAATATTGGCTAATCGACTAGTTTTATGAAGCTACGTTTTGTTTTCGAGGTTTTGGAAGAAACGTAGTTTGTATCAAGATAATGTTCTGAAGTAAAACAGGTCTACCTCTCAGGTATCACAGTGATCATTCAGTAACGTTTCTTAATGCCTATTCAGTAGCACATTTCAATTTATTTCAGCAACATCGATGTTTAAGCAGGCATTAAAACAAGGGAAGCTCAGGGTAGCTCTTTTTCACAAACTTTGTATAACTGGTCGTAATGCTGTTATTCAGTGTTGTGCATAAATCATTCACAACTCCTGTATCTAACTTTGCGGGAAGGGAAATTGACGGGGAGAACCCGAGACGTCCACTGCTGCCAACCTGTTGCGCGCCGCCTCTCGCGCTTGCACGGGGCTCGAGAGATTGCGTTCCACGTGACCTGAAGCTCTAAGGTTGCTGCTCTTGCGCACACATCGATCTCTGTTCCAAACCCGTGCGCGTCACGTTCACTTTCAACGTCGGCCGCCGGAAGGCGATGTTCAGCTCAAACGCTGACGTAGGCACTTTGTCGTTGACTTGTATCACTGCACACACTTTCTCGTTGTTTTTCTAAGACGCGTAACGTTTCCCGTTCTTTTTTGTAACTCTTGTATCTCTTCACAAATTTTCTCGAGCTTTTTTTCTCGTCGCACAAACTTCCTCGACCGCTTTTTTTCACGTCGTACAAACTTTCTCGACTTTTTTTCACGTCTCACAAACTTTCTCGACCTTTTTTTCACGTCGCACAAACTTTCTCGACCTTTTTTCACGTCGCACAAACTTTCTCGACCTTTTTTCACGTCGCACAAACTTTCTCGGTCTTTTTTCACGTCGCACAAACTTTCTCGACCTTTTTTTCACGTCCCATAAACTTTCTCGACCTTTTTTTCACGTCGCGCAAACTTTCTCGGTCTTTTTTCACGTCGCACAAACTTTCTCGACCTTTTTTTCACGTCACACAAACTTTCTTGAGATTTTTTTTCCCGAAGCACAAACTTTCTCAATCAACTTTCAGGACAGACAAGCCTTCTCAATCTTCTTTCACGTTGCACACACTTTACCGATCTGTTTCACCTCGCACGCACAATCTCTCAATCTTTTTCACGCTCCACAAACTTTCTCGGGCTTTTTATGGTCTCTTCGTTTCTTTATCGGAACACCACGTAGCAATTTTTCGTAACTACTTTGCGATATCACGATATGATACTGCAGCACTTTCTCACCACTGTGTTTTGATTTTTGAAATTAGTAATAACTGTACTAATACCCAGAAGAATACAGAAAATATATTGGTCGATCGTTCTATTGAAGCAAATGATATTTTATCAACACACATCAAAGAATTATCTTGCAAATCACTTCCTTATCAAATTAACGCGGAGAATGAACCAACACAGGACCTTCTATCTTTCAATTTATTTTCCATATCTTGTTCATTAAATTCCATTAACCCATAAATCTTGTCAAATTTATTGTTCCCAGATTCCGCAAACTTTTTGTTACTTGGAGTTTAGACTTCAGAGCTTTTTCCTATTTTATCAATTTGATGCAATAAAAAAGTGTGAAGAACTATCCTCGCTTTCAACTTGCATCTTTGGCAGAAGTACAGATATTACTTCGATATTTGCTGCGATTCCTTCGCGAGCATGGATCCCTCGTAAGGGTTGTTTTTCGGTCTGTGATACGACTAGAGAAGGGTTTTCTAACCTGTTGAATTCCACCTCGTAAATCTTCTCTTACGACCCGTTTTCTGTTCTCGCAATTCTATCACTCAGAGCGAAACGACCTGGAGACAAAGCGACAAATTGGTGTATTCGGTTTTGAGATGTAAATAAACACATCTTACACATGCGATGCAGGTCACCGTTTGGGAACATGTTACTGGGCATAGATCTGACCAAACGAATGAACGTGCACTAATTCTTTCACTGCAGAAGGGTTGAGTCAGAAAATTAATAATTATTTATGCTAATATACAACAGTTAATATCGGTAATGTTTGAAAAGTGTCAGAGGAAGTTCTGATAAACACAAGTATATTGCATGCTATATTTGGATGTATCTCGAACTAAAGTAAAGAAAGCAAAATAAACAAGTTGAAAATAAAATAAAAAGAACAGGCTTAATTACTTGATCGGGTAGATTCAATGGGCATTGTCTTTACGTTCATATTACACTGATATTCCGTTCAATGTCACATAATTTTCGTGTAATAGTTTTTGTATAAATTTGGTCAGATAACTATTCATGCGCGTCAACATTTCAAAAGACACTACACACACGAGAAAAACTGTTCACACGGAAGTTAATTAAGTTGACTAAAGAGAAATTAAAGAGATTTTTGTTCCCAACTGGTGAAAGATGATATTATACAAAAGTTACCTTGTTAGATGCTAGCGATGGCCCTCGAGAAGTTCAAGTAAAAACTTCTTTCGTTGTCTTTTTATGGTTTCTTGGCACATTAATCGTTCAGTCGAAGTTTATTACTGTGCAAGTTTATCGTTCCAAAAAATGAACGTTAGACTCTAAAACTAGTTCTTTTTCTCGAGGACGAAATGTTAGAAGTTACTGCTACCTGGGCTGTTCTGTATATTCATTCAATGTGCTCTCTATAAAATCCTGAATTAAGTTTCTTTTCCTGTCCACTGAAAAGAGAAGAAGGATACAATGTTATGTATAAATAATGCAAGTCACTGACAGTCGTGCATGGTTCGGGAAAGAGTAACAAGAAATTACAAGACTCTTATCTTTATTAGCACAAGTTTACCGTTTTCGCCGATGCGAATGAATCAGTAATCGATAATGAGTAAGAGATTCTGTTACTCATGACCATTCCAGCACGAATTCATTAGTCACATCACATATTCGATTTGCGATCGTCCATTCATTCGAGGCAGCGTTTAGCAAAAATGCTGTTATAGATTATTAAACAAATAATTCAATAATCACACAAAAAATATCTTAAATAAATACAAAACTGTTTTCTAAATAGCAGCAGGCACACCGCTCAAGAGTAACAAATGAAATACGCTCTTATAACACTACAGCGAATTAAATATTTTAACAACAGTCTTCACGCATACTGCGATAACATAATAACCATGACGTGTGATAACATAATAAACTAGTACAACAATTCTTTATAAAAATATTTTTGAAAAATGTTTTCCATAACGTAACACGTTAATAGAAAATATGTAATGGCGGGCGGTCCCATCCTTGGAGCCTTGCTAACGCATGGTGTCTTCAGTGTCGCGAGGAGTGACGTACGGAGTAAGAGAATTCTGTAACAGAATTCGCACAGTACAACGGGTAGAATTTGCATTTTTCAGTCAAAATTGAAACTATTTCATTCCTTGGGCATCTAACGAAACACGTTTACACAGGGCTGGAGTTTGCGAGTTTACACAGGGCTGGAGTTCACGTGTAGGTCTCTAAATAAATGTTACAAATTTCTAGGAGCGTAGAGGAGCCATAACTATTTGTCAATGAATTTCTAGAGGGAAATTTCAAATAAGGTGTTACACATGTTAAATTTTCTGCTGACTTTTAGGCAACATGCACAGATGTTAGGCAGGTCACGTTCTGATGACGTCGAGGAGATATGTAACTGCAGAACTTTTACGCGTACGTGGTTTTTGCATGCGCAAATGCCACAGTATAAACATTAAGAAATTACATAACGGATTTACTGTAGCGTATGATTATTGGCAACAAAATTATCAATGTTGAAAAACGATAATTAGCAGAAAATTACCATTTTCGTCTGCCGAGACGAGAAGAGTTCTCGGGTACCAACAGATGTCACTGCAGTGCCTCTGACCGGGAGATCTTAGGTTCGAGTCCCAACGGTAGCCAGATTTTCGACATTAGCGTGTCAGCTAGGTAGAATTCAGTAGCTGTCTGGGGGAGAATTCTAGCGGCCGGCTGCTCTGATCGGTAATTTTCCGTGGTTCCTTCAATCAACACCAGCCAAATGTCGGAGTAATACACTAACAAACTGGGCCTCCTTCCTTCCTCTTCCGTGTCCTTTCCTCCCCCTTACACGCACTTGCACTTATATGCACTATACCGCACATGCCGGGAGACGGGTCGAGAGCTCAGAACTTGTCCTGACACGCGCGTTTTCCCAACCAGGTATCTCCCACTAGCCCTCGCCAGATACCTGGTAGGGAAAACCCTTCAAGCCGATGTAGGTCATCACCGGATCTCGCTAGCAAGCGGGGGAATGTTACCGCCCCCACTACACTTACGGGAATGATGACCTTAGCAATTGACGCTCTCGAAATCACTAATCAACAAAATCAATAAACTTGTTATTGGCGCTGTTGTAGTCTTTTTTGATTTTGTATTTTTTTCTTCTTAATATGTTTGTTTTTGTTCTACTTCTACATTTTGTCGTCTGTTCGTTCTCCTTCCTTCTTTTCTGCCCCCTCCTTTCCCTTTCTATCGCGCGAGAAACTCTCCGCGGCGCCGTTTTTCCAGGGCGCCGGCGGCGTTAATCAGGCTGCGAGCATACGGAACGAACAGGCGGGCTACGGAGCCCGAGCCGGGGCCGTGGCCGGGGCCGGCATCTCAGGGGGCTTTTGTTCCCACGGCGGTGGCGCTGCGCCGCTGTTTCCAGGGCACCGGCGTTTGTTTGCTCCTCCCCCCCTCCCCGCTCCCTCGCATGTCCATCCCCCACCCGCACCTTGCACTCCTGCCGCGCCGCGCGCTACCTGCCCGGCACGGAGGGGTGGGGGGGAGAGTCAGCGAGTCGATTCAGTCACGTCGGGGCACGATAAGGGATGAGAGTACGAATCTGTGGCTCGTTTGGTGATTGAATAACACTTTTCCTCAGTACCCGGCGGCCTCAAACATACCATTCGGTTTTCCGCGAGCTGCGAGCTACTTTTCGACCCAACTCCCGGGCGGTCTGATCACTGTCTGCGAATGTTGCTCCTTTGATCGGGTGTCCGAAAGGCCGCTTAGCACACATTCCGGCCAATTCGCCGACGGTGCGGGAACTATTCGCCCAATCCCGAGCAGCTGATGTGCTGGGCGAATGTTCGCTCCCTTTGATGTGTCCTAATTACCGGCACGCGGGGGTAGGTAGAGCACCGAATGTTCGTTCGACTAAAGGCGGCACCACACATTCGCCATTCGCCGAGCAGCGAGCTACTATTCGCCCAATCCCAAACATGTGATGTGCTCGGCAAATGTTCGCACCGTTTGATGTGACCTAAAGACCGACACGCACTGGCTAGGGTGAATGCCGAATGTTCGGCGCCCGGGAAATAGCACGCAAACCACACTATTCGGGATTCGGAGAGCGATCGCTTGCTACTCGCCAAATAGTGAATGTGTGGAGCCGCCTAGTCACAGAAATTTATATTTGCTGTAGAGTTGTGCTAAAACCACTTTGAGAGTACGAATTAATTTTTAATTAAACTGAATATTGTAAAAAAGCGGCTATTGAGTTTTGAAACAAGTAAAATCTGTGATTTTCCTGGTCGCACATAGGTCTTACAGACTTGTTTTCACGTTTTTTTAGTGCTAAATAAATGGATAGTGAGAACCCACGAACGGCCTGAATTAAAAAAAAAATTGTTTGCAATATTCAGTCTTCACAGATTTCAATAGTTAGACAAACAACTATAGGCACATTGATATTAATTTATTCTGGGCAAGCATTGAAATTTTTTCAATAGAAAAATATTTCGATATTCCTGTGAAATAATATTATTATTGCACGAGAATATTAGACAGCACACCATCAGTGCTGAAATATTCATCATTACCGTTACTATTACTATATTATTATTATTATTATTATTATTATTATTATTATTATTATTATTATTATTATTATGATTATGATTATTATTATTATGATTATTATTATTATTATTATTATTATTATTACGATTACTACTTTTATTATTTAATCCGAGACATATTACTTTCTTTTCACCATTCAGGATACACGGTGAATGTTAACAGTTCCATCGTATCCTGATCGTGCATGAGCGTCAAATTCTTTCTCTCCCTCTCAAATATACATAACACACACATACACACATACACACACACACACACACACACACACACACACAGAAACGTGTATACACAGCAAGCGTTTTCGTTTGTTTTTGTTTTTTCTTCTCCCGTTCCTTTCCCGCAGGCGTCAGCCGTCGCAACGACAACACAGACGCGAGGAGTGTCGCGAGGCGATTAGCGCCCCGTGCCCTTTCCCTCGCTCCTTCCCTC